GCAAGGAGTCTGTGGAGCAACAAAAACGAGGAATTAAGACCAAAGTGTTGCAGTTTTATTTTAAATAGACCATAAGTGAATGATTTAGACATGAAGAAGAAGGATTTAAAAGCATGATATGTTACCTTTAACCAAAAACGATACAAATAAATAAGCACTTGTTCTTCTGTCTGTTAGCAGATTTTTGTCTCTTCTCATCTTTGAAGGATTTTGTTGAAAGTTGGTTTCCTGATTTTGCATCTTKTTTAACAGGAGTTGTGGTTTTTTTCTCCACTGATGATTTCCTGATTCATTGATTGGTTTAAGGCAGACGTATTTTTATCCCTCTGGGCGTGTGTTGCTCTGCGGTGCTCTTGTTGTGTTTTTGGTGAGGGATTGTGGTGGGAGGGTTTGTCAGCGAGGAGCATTCAGAGGGGGGAGGGGGGACACAGAGCGGAGAGATGGGCTCAGAGGGAGGCAGAGAGGACGAAGCAGGCGTATCTGTAGCAGCATCTCTGCTTCACACCATGACGGCAGGAGAAGGTAAGGCTGGAAACCAGCTCTCTTATGTAATCTGCTGCAAAATGCTTTTATTTTGGAGGGGTTAAACAATCTGCTCCTTCATGCTGCAGCTCAGAGTCTCTGACAGAAAGTGAATTTAGTGCAGATCAGTGTTTTTCCTTCTGCTCCGTAAGAAATGAGTTGAGTTCCTGCAGTGTTTATATAATCGTTGCTGTTTTAGAGAACTGGATTTAGTTCAGTCCAGCAGGTTGATTTTATCTGTCTGCTTCTCTTCATTGCAGATGACTTCTAATCTGCAGCATTTTCAGATTATTGTTGTGTAGCGCTGCAGCTAAAAGGCCCAAATTAAACAGACTGTAACCCAGATTATCATCTGTAAGACGGTAGCTGATAAATAGTTACAAATATCTGAGTGTTTATGATTGTTTCATTTAACAAATGGCTTTTTTATTATATGTTGAGGAAAAACATGTTTTAGGTTTCAAATAGAATCTTGAAGATGTTTTTCTGNTCATGGTCAGGACTGGGGTTACAGGTCTCTGTAGAGGTTCATGGTCAGGACTCAGGTTGCAGGTCTCTTATAAACCTGGGTTTTCTGCTGTTTCAGTACGTGTGGGACCGAATGTTGGGAGGCTTCAAACATAAAAACAACAGGACCAGAGAAGGAGTGTGCCTTTGTCTCATCGCCACGCTGAACACGTGAGTTCACCGACCTGACCAGCTCTGAATTCTGTTCCTCTTTAGGAAAAACAAATTTTATTAAAATGTCTTTTCTTGGTGCAGATACGGAGCTCAAGGCCTGACGTTAAGTAAAATAGTCCCTCATGTGTGTAACCTCCTGGGTGATCCCACAGCTCAGGTAAAACTGCTCAGTGTTTTCTGATCTTAATTAATAAATGAATGAAAGATAATTAAAGGTGTGTTTGACGGACAGGTGCGAGACGGAGCCATGAGCTGCCTGGTGGAAATCTACAGACACGTGGGGGAGAGGGTGAGGCTGGACCTCAGCAAGAAAGGCCTTCCTCAGTCACGGTAGGACTACCGGAAAGTACCGGAAACATCAAAGCCCTCAGCCTCTCTGTGTCACGAYGATCAGCTCCCTCTAGTGGAGGTTTTGCAAACTGCAGCTTTAAAATCAAACCTTTAGTTTTTGTGCTGCAGTGATTTTATTCTGAAGACTTTTATTGTTTAAAAAAAAATCTAATCTGTTCCAGCAGGAGGAAATCTTGATTTTTTTTWATCTCTTTTCTCTCGGCTYGCAGGTTGAATGTAATCTTCAGCAGGTTTGATGAAGTCCAAAGATCCGGGAACATGATCTCGTCCTCCGGCTCAGGTGAGTCMCGGTCACCTGAGACACTCTTACCTGCAGATTTGTCCCACTCAGACGTCTGCCTGCAGTTTTGTTAGCCTCAGTGCTCTGAGAAGAGTCTTTTTTAGTGTCTGCAGAACAAAGAGGATTTAAGGACAGTGTTTGGTGGTCATGTGCTTCACGCTGATATCTGCCGTTAAATAGCAGCTTTCTTCGTTCAGGGCCTCGTCTTCATCACATGTCCTCTCAGCTTTTCTTTCTGCTTTAACTMTTTGTTTTTCTAATTATAAACCTGCTGTCGCTCGAGAAACACACATTTTTACTTATTTATTATTTAAAGAGTGCTATTTTGATTTGATGGAAGGTTGTTAAGTTAATGATGTGACTGACTGCTATGTGCTGCATGGAAACAGGAAATGACTGAATATCTAATAAGTCTGACAGTTTGGACAGTTTATTATTAATATATGATTTAAAATATTTTTCTACCTGAAACAGCTTCTGAGATTGTGAATGCATTACGACCGCATCATACTTACAGGAAGATACAGAGGCAGCAGCTCGGCTGTTAAACTGTGGCTAACGATGGTAAACGGTGGCTAACGATGGTAAACGGTGGCTAACGATGGTAAACGGTGGCTAACGATGGTAAACGGTGGCTAACGATGGTAAACGGTGGCTAAACCATGGCTAACGATGGTAAACAGTGGCTAACAATGGTAAACAGTGGCTACACCATGGCTAACGATGGTAAACCGTGGCTAAACCATGGCTAACAATGATAAACAGTGGCTAAACGGTGGCTAACAATGGTAAATGGTGGCTAACGATGGTAAACGGTGGCTAACGATGGTAAACAGTGGCTAACGATGGTAAACGGTGGCTAACAATAGTAAACGGTGGCTACACCATGGCTAACGATGGTAAACCATGGCTAAACCATGGCTAACAATGGTAAACCGTGGCTAAACCATGGCTAACAATGGTAAACCGTGGCTAAACGGTGGCTAACAATGGTAAATGGTGGCTAACGATGGTAAACGGTGGCTACACCGTGGCTAACGATGATAAACTGTGGCTAATGATGGTAAACGGTGGCTAACAATGGTAAACCGTGGCTAACGATGGTAAACCGTGGCTAACGATGGTAAACGGTGG